ATATATATATAATATATATCATATATATATATATATAGATATATATATATATGATATATATATATATATATATATATATATATATATATATAATATATGTGCAAAAGATGTGCAATATTTACCTGGCTAGATAGAAAGATAGAAAAATATTTACCTGGCTAGATAAAAAAATAGATATACTTGATTGATCCTAATTTGGGAAAATATTTTGTTACAGAAGCATTGTCCTCAACATTAAAATACAAATACTTAAAAAGTGAAATAGAGAATTACAATTAAAAATGTCGTGAAAATGAAAAATAGTATATCAAATACAAACAATATAAGCAATATAAAATGCTCTGGATGATACAAATGTTCTTAAAAAAGTCGAAAATACTACAGGAGCATATACATACTGTGTACATACTGCAGTGTGTTAATCAGTAGGGGCTTGGACTGGGAGCCTATAGGGTCGCCGGTTCAAGTCCCCGACCAGACCTATATCAAGTGTGGACTGCTACTTGGAGAGGTCCCAGTTCACCTCCTGCCCTGCCGTGGTGCCCTTGAGCGAGGCACCGTACAGCTTTGTTTGAATCTTAAATATCTTTTATGCATGTTTCTAATCTAGGTTAATATTAAGCTGTTTTTTAGGCTCTTTTCTTGCTGTAACAAATGCACATTTTCTCCTCCGATTCTGAATACAGCAGGTGGTGGTAATGCACTTTTAACGCCGGTTACCACGCGCCAATAAACAAACAGAAGAAGAAAAAGAATGACGTCACATGAGAGGTAAAAAACATGGCTGCCCCCGACGAGTCGAGCCGTTTTTCTTAATTTTAAGTGTTTAATAGCCACTTCTGAACGGTAAGTGTCATATTATTGCGTGACAGCGAGTTTTAATATACTTAATACGCCTATACATGTTGTGTTGAGGTCACTGATACGTAAAATAAGGCCATATTCACAACGTAAAAAAGTGAAAAGTGATCCATGCTGGCTCCACCACGTTTGTTTTCCTGAGGTATAAACCACATTTTTCTCCCTCAGTATATACGTGTATTTACTCAGTTTTATTAAGCTGCGAAATCACATTTTTAAATGTAATATTTCGATAAAGCAGCATTGTTTAATAGTAATGTGTTTTAGGAACGTTTTGATGCACGTCTTAAGTCAGAATAGGCACACGTTATTAATAATAAAAACACGATAACAGATATGTACACCATGGTAAAACACAACTAAGTAGCAGTACAGTTTAAAAAACAAGGACCATATAAACATATAGAAGTAGCTGGTACTGTTAACAGAGTAAAATCATTGCAATACAACAACAAACAAGTTTTAAATAATGTTTTTAAAGGTGTGTCATTATGGTCTCCTGATCAATCTTATGGATAGTATGGATGCTATTTTGACCTTAATCTTAAGTGGGTTTTTTCTGTGGTTTTTAGTATTTATTGCTAATTAACTATTTTATTAAAGGTGGGGTATGTAATTCACTTCAGAAACACTTTTTGTTATATTCCATGGAATGCTCTTAACATCCCGATAGCAATGAATTTATTAAATGGTTTGACAATAAATACATTAAAAATGTCATCAGTGGAAGCCGTGGCGCTGTAAAAAGCTCGACCAATCATCTGAGCCGGCCCGGCTAAAGTAACTGGATGGCCTACCTGCCTGTCAGCTTTCCATCTGTGCACAAACTTATCTCGTGCCCTCATTGGTCATGTGCGCGTTCGTGTGTGTTGGAGGAGGGGCTCTGTAAGGAAGTCTGAAGGAAGGGGCAGATTTTATTCGGCTGCGTACTTTCACGTTCTAGCGCACTCGAGCTGGTTTCTCCATCGTTACCTACCCTACCTTTAAGTACCATGTTATGGATTTTACCTATGAGAACAAGTGAGTTGTATTCAGTTAATGAGTTAAGATGGGTTAATGTTTCAACAGATCATGCTTACCATGGACAAAGTAGAGAACATTGTGCCATCTGCTGAGGAGGAGGAGATGGAGGAAGAGGAGGAAGAAGGAGACAAGGAGGAAGAAAAGGTAGATCAGGAAGAAGGTAAACAAGAAGATGATGGACCACAGGAAAGTGGAGTTGAAAAGGAAACGAAAGAAGAAGCAGTGCCGCCGGCTGCAGCTCAAACTAAAACGACTAAAAAGAAGAAAGGGAATCCCTTTCCTGTGAAAACCAAAGAGAAAAGGCCGGACGAAGGCCTGAACCTCAACAACGAGGTGGTGAGGATGAGGAAGGAGGTGAAGAGGGTGAGAGCGCTGATCTTCAGGAAGATGACGCGACAGGTTGCCGCCCTGAAGAAGATGAAAGGGACGGAGATGGAGATCGAGAAAAACCAGAGGAGAGCTGCCAGACTGCTGGAGGAGGTCCACGCCATGAAGGGCCTCTCCCCTGACGCGGTAATAATACTAATACTACAGTGTTTCCCCTAGGTTTACTGCTTTGGGGGGGGGGTGCTGCTGCCTGGGGGATATATATTTTTAAAATCCTCTGGAGCAGAGAGAGGAGCTGTGGATTATTGTTATTGATTAATGCATCAGTGTTTAGGGTCAAAAACGCTAAACTCACAACTTAAAGTGAAAGCGTTTATTTAATAAAAGAGCACATGTTCGATGTGAAAAGTGAAAGTAGATGTAGATTAGTTGCAATTTGGTGCTATATATA